GAGGAGAGAGTATATGTTTTACTTTTTCTACAATTTTGAGGCTCCAATAAGAGATACAATTGCAAACATAAAGAGAATAACACTCAGAAATAAAGCAAAATAACAATCCCACAAGCAGCAGCCAGTAGACGCTTTGTGGAATTAGAATTAGTCCATAGGGTACATTGAGCTAATCCAACTATTGGTACAAGTTCAGCTCAAGCACTTGCCTTTATCAATTTTATGACTGGCTATTCATCCTTTTCTAGAGGATCTTATAATCATTCGACATCAGTCATTATGCTGAGACAAATTGAAGGAACATACATTAAACAGAATGCACATTAAGGGAGCAACACAACAAAAACGCACTTCTGTTATGGTGTTTCAAATGTTTACATGAATGTATAGAGGTCATTCTATATTTTCTGTGGAGACAAGATTAACCAGCTTTCATTATCTTTTGATTTTTAAGTTGGTCTGAAGAGACAAAACAGTGCTACTGGAACTGCGATCACTCTAGCAGTCGAGAAGTCATTTCAAGAAGAAAAAAAAAACTTACAGCTGAAATGCCCTTGGCAAGGAGAAACTCTTCAAGTGACATGCGAACCAGTTCTCCATCAATGAGAAAATCAAAAGGCTCAGTATTCCATTCATCTTTCCCTGATAATAATCAAATGACAATCAGGTAAGCATACTAGTAAGAACATGATTGTAGGACCACCGAGCAGATAATACAGTGCTTATCCAGTATACATGAGATCAGGTCCTTTATTTAATTAAATATTAAACCATGACTCTTTTATCTCTAATACCAAATTTAGTTACAACATAAACAAATAATTACCTAAAAAAACATTTTAATAGAGCCATCTCTAAGGATAAAGTAGCTGAATTATGGCACCACTAACCCATAATAACAAAGCTCTAGAACACAAGCAATAACCTATTCAACATGTCAATGTACAATTTACAAGCTCGTACCTTAAGTAACTGAGATAAACCAATCGATTAAGCCAAACTGACAATTAAAATGAATTGTTTAGAATATTTACAACCGTAATGGGGAACCATCATTACCCACAACTACCATATCTCTGTAATTATAATTTATTTATCTAAACCAACAAAAAATGAACCATATTAACTCAAACTACATAAATCGACCAACAATCAATCAAATACACTTCAGTCCTAAACTAGTAGGGGAAAGCTATAAATTTTAGAAAATTTATACCGGGCAGAATAGTTAGAAGTTTTTACCAGCTTTAAGGAGGTTGTTGACAATGGAAGAGAGGCCGAAACGGGTGAGATTGGAGGGAATAGCAATGGAAGTAGTTGGGGCTTTAAATGGAGGCTTCAACTTCGTGACGAACCGGACCTGCACCCGCCGTGCTGCCTCTTCAACGTCCCCGTCAATATCCATTCCCGCCATTAATTCGTCAGAGTTACTCGGGGAAAGGTTGAGGATGCTAGGGTTTAACAGGTTGATTGGGGAAGTTGGCGGGTCGAGCTAGGGTTTAACGGAAATTCTGAAGTCTTGTTCATCTACTTTTGAATCTTTGATAAAAGGGTTGGGCCTCTTATTTGGTTTGGGCTTCATGTACTGTGTTGGTGTAGTGAGTCATACAATTTTTTCCTCATTTACGATATTTGAAACTTATTTATTAAAATATCTTCGTTTTGTATATTACTCGCCCTAAACAAGGATTGCTTACAATTTATATACAAGTCACTATTAGTGCCTTAAATAAGGGGATTCAGTTACTATATGAGTCAAAATCTTGCTGAGGAAGTTGGGCGTGGAAAGATCGTAAGGTGAAAAGACTGTGTTTCGATTTGGGCAGATAGGATGAGGTCGACCAAAGCCCAACAACGAGTAGTCGCCGAGCGAGCCGTAAAGGTCGAGGCCGAATAACGAAGAATAGGAATAGCGGCAAGTATAGTCTTGGAACTAGTGACAGGAATATTCTCCTGAATATTCCTTTTCTTGTACTTTTTAGGGTCTTTAGAGAATATCCCACATAAATAGAAAGAGAGAGAAGAAAGGGGGGGCACGTGAGATTGAATCTGAGAAAACTATTGTAAGAAGTGGACCATTGAGAGAAAATACAAAGTTTACCTTTCCATAGTGATTAATTTTATCGATTATCCTTCTTTTCCACTCACATGATCCAAGAAAGCATTACTCATATTCTTGTTTACTGCCATACTTCGTTGTCAGAAGGAAGAATCTTCCACATCATTTGATATTTGGGTGAATTGTTCTTTCTATTTACATTTATTGCCACTTCTCATATTTATTGCTCATTATTCATTCTTCATTTACTCCCTAAAGTGTGCATTTAATGACCGAATATACGAATATACGATTATGAGCATTTGGTAAACGGTGTCACCCAAACTTTAAACTAGATCTAGGAATTATTATGCCTGACTAGGATTCACCTTTCACCTCAGTTATCATAAAATTAGTTTAACAAAAAGTAGTATGTTATTTGGTCAAACAATTTGGCGCCGTCTGTGGGAAGTTTTTAGTCAAAATCATAGTCTTTCTAGATCTACAAAAACACAACAATAGCAAAGTGTAAAGTTTTCTTTCCCCTACTTGCATAATCTAACATGGCAGAAAATGGAGAAGAAAGACTAAAAGTAGTGGCAGGCCTCACTGCTAATCTCCTAAACACCATCAACGAAACTCACGGAGAGGACTAGGAGAACGTGACACCCAATGCCTCACCTGGGCGAAGTGACTTACCTCCCCATCGCAGCAGTGTTACCGTTTCTCATGGATAGGGAGCCCCTACGTCCACTACGGAAGAAGCACCACCAGCAGTAAAAAAATTACAAGAGGCATGGTTAATGAATACGCTGAAAATTATACTCGACAAACCCGCTCAAAGGGCGAGCAGAGAGGGTGTGCGAGTCGACGTCGCCACAACAACCAATAAGCAACACACCCAACCTACCTCGACAGGTATCACTCACTCTATTAATGATGCAGGTAACAACGCCCTCACTGCCATCCTTAGAAAGATGGAGGAAATGGAAAACGAAAACAAAGCACTCTGCGACCAAATGAGAGAGCATCAAGAAAGGGTAGATAAGATACTAGGTGCCCCAAAACTCCTACCAAAGCGGGACGCCGGCCGGTTTTTGGAACAACCGTATAGCGACGAGGCCGCACCGCATGCTATACCAAAAACTTTCAAAATGCTTCCATACTTGAAAATATATGATGATATGATGGGTTTTTCAATGTCTTTGCCTTATGCTTCTTATGTTTTGATGATCTAACAAACTTATTGTTAAGAACCAGATAGAGAACTTGACCCCTTTGGTACACATGTCAAATGAACAATGCCCAGTCCGATCTCCAGCAAATGAATGAACAACTACAAAGAGGAACACAACAGGGACCTGGTCCCTTAGGGTTCTCTGACAAAAGTACAAGTCAACTATACAGCTGGAACACAACTGCAGAAAGTGACTGTCTGCAACTGTACACGCGACAGTGCAGGAGACAGTGCAGGAGACAGTGCAGCAGTCACTTCTCATTGGGAAAAAGCGTGTACCAAGAATTGACATCACCATTGTGATGTCTTTTGTAGTATAACAACCTGGTGCAAGGCACAACATACTCACTTGTGCATTTAGTGATATTCTCTCAAGCATTAAAGTGTTGATCCAGCATTAAAGTCACTAGTGTGTCAAGAACAAGAAGACAACTCTACTAAAGGATCAGTTTCACAATGAGTCTATGTATATCCGTAGTTGAGTTGTAATCTTGTTATTGTAACTCCTATCTGGCTTTCTTAGAATCCGTGTTTTAGGAAACCCAAAAATCACAAACCCTCCAAGGTTGTGTTGTGACTAGAGTTAGTTATAAGTTAAAGTCTTTGTAACTAGAGAGTGATAAAATGGCTTGTGGTAAGAGTATCACAAGTTAGTTAAGTTGAAGTCTTTGTAATAGAGTCATTACAAAGTGGCTTGTAATAGCGAGATTACAAGTTAGTGAAGTTGAAAGCCTGCAAGTGTAGGTCGTGGTTTTTTGTCCCCTTGAGTGGGATTTTTCCACGTAAAAATCCCGTGTCTCTTTAACTTACTACTTCATAAGTACTCTTAGTAGAAACTCATAGAGGATCAGGTATTCTATAGTTTGGTGGACTCATGTAAGCTAACACGGTACGACAGACCTTGAGGACCACATCATCCATTACGTCACCGCAGTGAAAGGCAACGACCTCGCTAAGGAGAAAGTGCCATCTATATTGCTGAAGAAGTTTAGTGAAACCCTAACTAGGGGAGCATCAACATGGTACTCGCAACTGCCCGCACGGTCCATGCATGGGCCAAGGTGAATAACATATTCGCCATCAGGCAGTCACATGGCGAAGGGCTCAGGGATTTCCTTGCCCGGTTCAATAGAGTGAGAATGACCCTTCCAAATGTATCGGAGGGGATGACAGTAGCAGCTTTCCAAAACGGGCTGAACAGGAGCGGGTCGAGGGAAACCAAGAAACTATTGAGTAGGCTAATGAAGTACCCTCCCACCACGTGGGAAGAAATACATAACGCTTATTGAGCCGAGCTGAGAGCCGGAGAGGATGATCTCAACGGACCTACTCAACATCTGACCTCAGTCCAAATGGAATCTAGGAAAGACCGAAGAAACAAAAGCAAAAGGGATCTAGCGGGGTCACGACCTAATCGAGAAAGACATCAGCCCTAAATTAGAGGAACCTTCGTGCCACCCCCACGTCACGACGAAGGTCCATCCAGACCACGAACAGGAATCCACCGAAACGAAAAAGGTATGCCCCCTTGCTATCGACTCACAATTTTTGTGTTTCCCCCTCAGAAATAGTCTACGCATTGGAAAAGCTCGGCCCAAAGGTAAAATGGCCACAGAAGATGAAGTCCGACCCAAACACCAGAAAGTCAAACGCCCTCTGTGAATTCCACCAAGAACGGGGTCACAAGACCGAGGATGCATCGCCCTCAGATAGGAGGTCGTGAACATGCTTCACCAGCGGCACCTAAAAGAGTTGATGAGCGATCGAGGGAGGGCCAACTTTGCCCGAGGGCGAGAGCAACATCAGGGACCGCCCAAACCACCTTCCCTAGTTCAAACCATTCAAATGATAATCGGGGGAGGCGACGACGTATCTATCAACAATGTGAAGTTCACCACCACTCACAAGCTCAAGCGGTCAATCACCCACGAACAATATGATGAACTCGAAGAAAGTATCATCTTCAATAAGTCGGATACCCACAGTTTGGTCTTTCCTTACTATGATGCCCTTGTCATTGCTTTACGTGTTTTTTATAGTGATATAAGACGTATCATGGTCGATTATGGAAGCGGCGCGTGCATCATCCATCCCCGAGTTCTCACCCAAATGAAGCTCAAGGACAGGATAGTGCCACGTTGTATCACACTAACAGGTTTTAACAATGCAATCGAGCAGACATTTGGAGAAATCACGCTGCCCGTCCTGGCCGGCGGCGTCACCCTGGAGACTACATTCCACATCATGGACCAAGATACGGCGTACAACGCCATCATAGGCCGACCATGGATATACTCCATGAAAGTCGTCCCCTCCAATTTGTACCAAGTCATTAAATTTCCCACCCCTTGGGAGTATTCTGCATCCGGGGAGAGTAACGCACGGCCCGAGAATGCTACCGCATCGCCCAAGATTGCACGTACACCCTATCTCGGTGGTCACAACTTTTCCTTTAAGGAGTATCTTGCACAAACCCAAATTGTCGGGTAGACTGGCCAAGTGGGCCATAGAGCTGAGCGAGCACGATATAACCTATCAGCCGTGAACAACGAAAAAGTCGCAAGTTCTTGCCGACTTCGTCGCCAACTTCAGTGTGAAGATAACGTCCGAAGTCAGAAGGGAAACCGCCATTAGTTCTACAGAAGTACACGACCAATGGTTCTTGTACACCGACGGCGCTTCTAGCGCATCAAGATCTGGACTGGGACTCGTCCTTGAGGTCCCAACAGGCGAAGTGGTTCGCCAATCCATACGATGCCGTGATATGACTAACAACGAGGCCGTAATTGCAGGTTTAAAATTAGCACTCAGATACGGAGCACGGCGAGTCATCCTTCGATGCGACTCGTAACTCGTCGTCAATCAGGTCACGGGGACTTTCCAAATTAAAGAGCAATGGTTACAGAAATATTAGGCCGAGATTTACAAACTACTACCCGAGTTCGACGAGTTCCAGCTCGGTCAAATACCTCGAGCGCAGAACATCGAAGCGGATGGCCTCGCCAAATTGGCAGCGAACACCAAAAGCATAACTGGAGAGGGAGACGTGGTCAATCTCCTCCATTTGTCAAAATCGAGGTACGCACTATAAACCTAACTTGGGACTGGCATAATCGTATTATCTCATACCTGCAGGACAGAGTGCTCCCACCCGACAAAAAAGAAGCCAAAAAGCTTCAAATGCAGGCGGCCAGGTACAACGTCGTCAATAACGACTTGTAAAAAAGAACATTTGGTGGCCCCCTAGAAAAGTGCTTAGGCCAAATCAAACATGGAGCGTCCTCGAAGAAGTACACGAGGGCCACTGTGGATCCCACACCGGCAACCGAGCTCACGTCAGATGCCTCATACGGGCAGGCTACTATTGGCCCACGATGAAGAAAGAAGCCACCGACTTTGTCAAAAGGTACGAGCAATGCCAAAGATACGCCCACATAATTCACCAAGCGGGCGAACACCTTCATTCAGTCACTTCGCTATGGCCTTTCATCAAGTGGGGAATGGACATCGTTGGGCCCCTCTCGGTGAGACGAGGTAATGTCGATTTCTTTTAGTTTTGACTGATTATTTCTCCAAATGGGTAGAAGCAGGTGCATTCGCCCAAATACGCGAGCAAAAAGTAATCATGTTCATATGGAGAAACATCATATGCCGCTTCGGCATCCCTAAAGAAATCAACTGCGACAACGGTCCCCAGTTCACTGGAAAAAAGACCGCCAAGTTCTTCGAAAAATGGCATATCAAAAGAATACTCTCCACGCCATATCACCCCGCAGGTAACGGTCATGCGGAATCCTCCAACAAAACAATATTGAATATCATGAAAAAGAAACTCGAAAACGCCAAGGGATTGTGGTCGGAAGTGCTACCAGGAGTGTTATGGGCATATCGCACCTCGCCAAAAACGAGCATAGGGGAAACGCCATACTTACTAGTTTATGGGACTGATGTAATGATACTAGTTGAGATCGGGGAGCCTAGTCTGGGATACTCAAATGAAAGCGGGCTAAGCAACGACGAGAACAGAAGGCAAAACCTCGATAAAGCCGAAGAACGAAGAGACATGGCCTACATAAGAATGATAGCTCAAAAACAACAGGCAGAGCGGTACTACAACAATAAAGCCGAAATCAGGCCACTCAAAATCGGGGACTACGTACTCAAAGCCAAAACACAACCAAGCAAAGACCCACGAGAAGGCAAACAGGGAACCAATTGGTATGGCCCATACAATATCACGGCGGTAGCAAGCAAAGGGTCATTCCAGAGCTAGAAACAATGAAGGAAAATTACTACCAAACAATTGGAAAATCCTCCACCTTAAATACTTCAACTTCTAAAGATAGACGCCCCCCGAGTACTCTTTTTTCCCTTACCCGAGTTTTGTCCCAATTGGGTTTTCTCGGGAAGGTTTTAAACGAAGCGATGAAGGGAGCGTCTCGGGGTTTAAGTATAAGTTCATCGCTCGACCTATCAATTACTTTTCCAGGTCGACCAATGAAGGGACTAGATAGACTGGGACTTCAGAAAACATGCAAACTTCACTGTATGTAAACTCTTCCAATGAATGTATAAACAAAGCGAAGTATGAAAACACATGAGTTTTTCATCTCCACCAAGTTCCTATATTACGCCAAGAGTCAAACATTCGACCTCGCTCGAATTGACTCTCATTTGACCTCGTTCGAATTTGCTAACATTTGACCTTATTCGAATTTATTTACATTCGACTTCGTTCGAATCTCTTAAACAGTCAAACATTCGACCTTGCTCGAATCGAATCACATTCGACCTCGTTCGGATTTACTAACATTCGACCTTGCTCGAATTGACTCATATTCGACCTCGTTCGAATTTACTAACATTCGACCCCGTTCGAATCTATTTACATTTGACCTCGTTCGAATCACTTAAAGAGTCAAACATTCGACCTCGCTCGTATCAACTTATATTCGACCTCGCTCGAATTTATTTACATTCGACCTCATTCGATTCACTTTAAGAGTCAAACATTTGACCTCGCTCGAATCAATTCACATTTGACCTCGTTCGAATTTACTCAAATTCGACCTCGCTCGAATCGACTCACATTCGACTCCCTTCGAATTCATTAACATTCGACCTCGTATGAATCAACCAGTGATTCGACCTCACTCAAGTTAATTGATATCCGACCTCGATCGCGTCAACTAAGTCAGGAACTCTTACAAAGGAAAAAGCATACGAAAAAATGAAAAAAGCCAAAAATATACAACAAAAAGACAATAACCATTCCATTCCAAGTACTCGTCTTCGTACCAAGAATCTGGATCAATCTCGTCCACATCTTCCTCATCATCGTCCATCTCGGGCATGCCAGGGTCATAGCCGCAAGCGGCACGAGCTGCCCGTGCCTTAACCCGAGCATCCTCAAACTTCGCCTCAAAGGCATTCCCTGCTACCGTCAAACCTCTGTATATGTCAAGATGAGCCTCAGCATGGACCCACTTCTCGTACAAGTCTTTTGGGACATTGGGATAAGTGGAAGCATGAGAGGTAGACGACTGAGCGTGCTGCTGCGCTTTCTCGGCTTCAAGGACAACTACCTGCTCATTCAAATCCTGAACATCCCCTTCCAGTCCGCCTATCCGCTTTTCGAGCCTCGCCTCTTTAAGAGCAGAAGTCTTTGCCTCACTAGCACGCTCTGATCTAAAGACGTGGAGAGTGGCCGCTAACGCCGCCGCCATCGCCACAGTAGTCGATCTAGCTCTCTCAACTCGCTCAAACTTCGCAGCTTTGGCAGCCAGCTCGTCTCTTAAGCTGATAACCACAGTTGCGATCTGCTCAAGCTCAGCCCGTAAAGATGTCACCTGAGTTTGGAGATCGATGCACACGGTCATGACCCCTTTGCTCACCTCGAGCTCATCGTTCTTGGCCCTTAACGTCTCTTCAAGCTCACTGCACCTGCCAATAATCCTCATGAGCTCGTCGTCCTTCTCCTTCAACTCGTCATCCTTCTCCTTCAACTCCTCACTCTTCTGCCTCAGATCGTCACGGAGGGTTGGAAACAGAGCGTCCTCACCAAGAATATGGACCAGGGCTTTATATTTGGTACGATACTCTCTGTACTTCGAGTCCATCTTCTTATAGACTCTCATCCCCTTCTCCTCTCGACAGGCGCTCTCAATCTCTAAGATGAGGGACTGATAAACAGACAAAGGAAGGTCAATAAAAACAAATAACATAAAAGGAAGAAATCAAAACGATAAGAAATGACTTACTCGCAGGGCCATCCCGGAAATGCCTAACGACTGGTCCTCATCCTTCAGCGTCTGCAAGGTCCTGTTCTCAGGCTCCACGCACAAAGGGGCCAAAGCTGGAACCACACTCTCCGAGTTGACTAACAAATTAAAATCCACAGAGATGACAATATTTCGAGTGGACCCCTCGGTCCGTACCTCCTCGGGTCGATATCAGAACCAGACCATTCATCCTCCACGGTGATCGTTTTTTCTCTACCACCAGCAGACGATGAGCCAACCTCGGCTACCCCCGGTATTTCCCTTTCCGCAGCTGCCTCCCTCGTCTCCAACGGACTAGATGATCGGCTCCAAACCTATACCATTATAAAATGGCAAAGAGAGGTCGATGAAGCTTTTACCCGAAAAGTCGGGATCGATATCCACAAGGAGCTAATATTGTTGGGAATTGAGTTTCTATCTAATCTAGCTATGTGTGTTGTTCTTAATTGCACTTCTAACCATGCTTTGTTTTGTTTCTATTCTACTTTTAATGCTACTGAATGATGAAAATAATCTAAGTACAATATTTTGTAAGGGTTTTCACAATTAATAACAGGCACTAAACCTGTCAAACGGGCCGGGTCAGACCGTTACCGGACCAGCCCAGACCGGTACAAACCGGGACCGAACCGGCCCGGTTCATATGGGGCCGGGTGGGCTGGGTCGGGGGGTAGGACAGGTTTGTTAGGTTGAGGTTTGGGATCCGGTTAACCGGACCCGGGTAACCCGTTTGGCGTGAACAGTGCCCAAACTGGCTAACCCGGACCGGAACCGGCCCGGTTAACGATAACATGTTTTTTTTTATAATTTTTTTGAATTTTGCTGAACAAATGGGGCCCACTATCCGTTGGAGATCAGGCTTTTCTGAAATATCCGTTGGCCAACGGATTTATTGCATAAATGGACATTTTTTTTTAATTTTATGTTTTTAACACTTTACAAAATTAACCTTTTTAAATCTATAAACCCCCCCCCCCCCACCCACCCCCTTCTTCATTTCTTCACTCAAATTTCATATCTCAATCTCAATTCTCAAATTCTCAAATTCTCTCATTCTTCAATTTGCAAGATTTCATCTTCTAATTTTATAATTTTTATTTGGCTATCTTTTCTTGAATTTAATTTATCGGAATTTGAAGTTTGAAGTTCAAAATTGAAATACTTGCTTGACGTTTGTTCGTGGTAACACCGGAATTGCGTAATCAAGTG